GGTGACAAAGAGTATCCATACTTGCAAATTGCACATAACCTCAAACACACACACACACACAGACACGCGCACAATTCACACTCATCCGTCCCATCTACAGCTGAGTTCGTATGGGCCCGGCCGTCGTGAGGACAAGAGAAGGTGGAGGGCCCATTTGACGTGGTCCGCCCATTCCGAACACGAGTTCCCAACTGAATGGCTGTCCGATAGAGGGAAGATGCCAATTGTCGGCAAGACAGGTCAACTGCTAAAAGATGTGGCTAAAAGATGGGTCATTTGTGAGATGAGAAGACACATGTTCGCTGCACAAGTATGAAGGCCTACTTTCACATGTGACATTGGTACATTGGCAAGGTGCGTTTGCATAAAGACGGTCAGACCAAGTGCCAGCGGCCAAGGTGGTTGAAATGCTCCCGCATCGGGATTGGCTCACAGGCCTCGGGGAAAGGTGTCCATTTCGGCCAATCAGCGTTGGCCTGCCCGACTGGTTCAACGATCGACGACCAAGTCGTGCAAAGTGACTGCAAATTGTGGAAGAAGCGGTCACTTTGACCGGGAAACAATGGGCCAATTGTCCCGCCGAGGCTGAAATAAACGAAAATGTTGTCTTTTTCTGCACACTGCGCACATCAGCTTCAGTGGGCCTGGGCTAAAAACACACTCGGCCCATCTCAGCATGGCCTGGATGCAGGACGGGTCTGGCTCTTGTCACTTGGACGACGCATTTAGCCACAGCGCTGCTGTCAAGCCTCATTCGCCCATTCCTCGTGGCCCCGTTGGCAACGCAGATGTACCAATCTGGCCTGAAGTTGTCCGTCCGGGCAGTCATGGTCACTTCCAGCTGCACACCGGCGACTTGGTAGAATGTATCTAGTCCGGAGTCGTCTGCCCTCGTAGTTGTCATGATTCCCAGCATCAGACAGTGGAATTGGTACATTCTCAAAGTGGTTGTGTGTTGCTGAGACGGGCAAAAGTGACTGGAGATAGGAAGACCAAGATGGTGTAGCCCCCGC